GGGTGGGGGGTGGGAGGGTGGAGGGTGTATATCATTTGAGGGAAGCAGCAAAGGTATTTCCTGAAGAGACATGGTAAAAGAGATCATGGAGAGATTCCTTGAGTGGGCATGACTGAACCCAGATTGGAAGCCAGTCAAATGTCCCCACAGCCATGCTGACAGCCTAGTAGAAAGCAATGATAGAGGATGGGAAGGTGCAAGATCAAATGCTGGGTTCTGGTCCCCATTCATCCTTCAGTAGTATAGAAGGTACCCAACCTCAGTTTCTTAGAAAAGTCAGGGAGTATGAGTGAATGAAGGAGCCCACATTCTGTGGTCTTAGTGTCTTAGATTCAATTTCTGTCTCCTCCATTATATAAATGAATCCAGGATCTTGTCCCTGTAAAGCTGTCTTCCTTCATAAATTGACGTAAATTGACCAGTCCTCTTCTTGACCTCTGGCAGATGTTGAGTGAGCAAGAGAACATCAAAGCAGGGTTCATTAAGTGGATCCTTCCCGACTGCCCTGCATTCTAGTGCAATGGAGGAACAGTAGGCAAGTTGGGGTACGGGGTGACTAGCAGCAAGGGAAGGGAATAGTTAGAAAATCCAAGGTTCTCTTCTTGGTCACGGTCAACTCCTTGGGTTGTAAACCTAAAACCAATACTCTACTGGGCTATACTGGACTATTCTGTGGTACCCTAAAAAAATGTTAATGATAGGGAGTAGGATAGGCCTGGTGCAGGAAATGGAGAGAGTTAGGAACTCTAAAGGGGGGGGGGCAAGTGAGCTCTGTCCCAACATGTCCTACCCATAAAGTACAGTTGAGAAGGACAATGGTTGATATTGTAACAGGAAGAATAGAAGTTAGAAACAATAAATAACCCTCTTTCTTATATTGGTGATTCCCAAGAAGGGTCTAAGGCAGAAGTCCCAGAAGGTGAGTAAATGATATTGCATGCTGAGATGGGAGATTCAGGACAATGAGGGTCAGAAGTAGGGGTGGTATGAGCCCCCAGAGTTGGTCAGACAATGGGACCCTGTTTGTTTGGTTGTCCCCTCCTCCTGTAGAACAAAAGCGTATACAGTTGCCCCTATCCAGGGTCTGCCCACACATATAGTCTCCCTGGAATGACACTCCCTGTGTGGGTGAGTTTGAAGGGTGGCACTGGGCCACAATGGCCAAGAGAAGGATGAGGATAGTTGAACCACAGAGGCCCACATGCAGAGTCATCTGAGCTCTAGATTTAGGGTGTTGCTATATACCCAGCTTCCTCTGACAGAGATAGAGTCCTTCCTCCCCTGGTTTCCCCAGTCAAGAGGGAGCTAAATCGCAATCGGGCAAGACAGTTGCACCCAACAAGAAGACTCACATTCTCTATCATTTTTTTACAAGAAATTTGAGTTTGCTAGACTGCAAAATACTCTACAGCTGCTAAAAGTGGTGTTGATGTAAATCAGCATGAAAAGTTACCCCAAATAAATATATTCTTAAGCCAAACAAAGTAAAATATAATGCAATGAAATATATATTTTAAGAAAAGCTCCACAAAAGTAGTCATTTTTCATAATATATATATATGGCATAATATATATGACAGGGTCTCCCTATAGCTCCAGCTGGCCTGGAACTCACTATGTAGACCAGGCTGGCCTTGATCTCATAGAGATCTGGCTGCCTCTGATAGGAAACTGTAGAAAACTAATGGTTGCTAAGGAGGATGTCAAAGGAGACTTTAGTGTCATTTCTATTGCTTGAATAGTTTATAGGAATGCAGGGCAGCTATAGTGGTACACACCTTTAATCGAAGCACTCAGGAGGCAGAGGCAAATGGATCTCTGTGAGTTCAAGCCAGCTTGGTCTACACAGCAAATTCCAGGCCAGCCAGAGCTACACAAAAGACTCTGTCTAAAAAAAAAAAAGGGGGGGGGCATATGTTACCTGTATAATTTAAAAGTTTTCAAACTTTGCATCTAATAGCTAATTTAATTTTAATTTATTTATTTTTATTTTATGTGTATGAATGCCATTCCTGAATGTATGTAAGTGCACCCATGTTATGCAGTACCCATGGAGGACAAAAAAGGGCATCGGTTCCTCCAAAACTGGAGTTATGGATGGTTGTTAACAGCCATGTGGGTGCTAGGATTTGAACCCCAGCCCGGTCTTCTGCAAGAGCATCCAGTGCTCTTAACCACTGAGCCATCTCTCCAGCTCCTAATAATTAGTTAGATACCATCTGGTAGCAACCATCAGTAATCCCAACACTTGGGAGGCTGAGGCAGGAAGATAAGTTCCAAGATAACTTGGGCTACATAAGAAGACTGCCGCTAAAATAAATAAGAAGAAAAAGAAAATGATAGTGACTACAAGGAAAACAACACACCTTCTGGAAGTCTTAAAGACTTTACCACTGATCTCATTTCCTGTATACTGAAAAGGCCTCCCACCCAAGTACTAACCATGCTTAGCTTCTGAGATCAGACAAGATTGGCTGTGTTCAGGGTGATATGGCCTTAGTCTTGAGAATACCTTTTATGCTGAGCTCTTGAACAGACACAGTATTTACATTTATTACATTAGTCCAGAGAGAGGCAGGTCCTGAAAGTTTGGTTCTTTGCTATGGCCTCTGACCTCTCAGTCTTTGACTGTCTTTTGGCCTCATTTCCTCTGTATGAGTTACTGGTCCCATATGTGTACCTGATTTCCCTCTGTGCTTGCAGTGCTATCCCCAGCCCAGGCCATTGTGGTTTACACGGACAGGGAGGTCCATGGTGCTGTGGGCTCCCAGGTGACCCTGCACTGCTCCTTCTGGTCCAGTGAGTGGGTCTCAGATGACATCTCTTTCACCTGGCGCTACCAGCCTGAAGGGGGCCGAGATGCCATTTCGGTGAGTGCATGGGGCCATCCTGGAGGGTTGGATAACAGAAAGGGCACTTCAAAGAACAATGGAAAAGAGAACCTGGGCTTCAGAGGGGAAGCTGTTTTATTCACATAACCCCAATTTTAGCAAGGTAAAGGGCATCTTTGTCACTCTACCGAGGACCTGTGTGCATTGTCTTCCCTGGCCAGCATCTGTTACCAGGAAGCTGGAGCCAAGCTTTAGCAGCTTTTTACGATAGGATTCTCTCACATATTTCTCCCCATTCCTCATAGATCTTCCACTATGCCAAGGGACAGCCCTACATCGACGAGGTGGGGACCTTCAAAGAGCGCATCCAGTGGGTAGGGGACCCTCGCTGGAAGGATGGCTCCATTGTCATACACAACTTAGACTACAGTGACAACGGCACTTTCACTTGTGATGTCAAAAACCCTCCAGACATAGTGGGCAAGACTTCTCAGGTCACACTCTATGTCTTTGAAAAAGGTGTGAGAAGGAACAAGGGACAGGGGGTCTGGGAGGCAGTTCAAGGAGGGGTCGGGAGGACTGATAGGCTGGGGGAAGTTCTAACTAATCTGGCTGTGTTGGTACAAGTCCCTGGAATCCCAGTACTGGAGAGACTGACACAGGAGATTTCCTGGACCACATAGTGAGTTCAACACTTCCCTGGGATACATAGCAAAACTGAAGTCTTTAAAAAGAGGAAGATGGGAATCTAGGCTCGGTGGCTCTGGGCCTGTCATTCAAGTAGTTCAGATGTGGAAACAGGTAGATCAGAAGTTCAAGGCCATCTTTGGCTACATAGATCCTGGTGTCCTGCCCCCCAAATAAAATAAAACAAAAAATAATAAAAACCAAACTGACTCTGAGAAGGTAGGCGGAAGGCAGCCTTGGCTAGGACCCCAGCACCCCCAGCTGCAGGAATAGGTGTGGTACCAAGCAACATAGACCCAGGCTCCTGCTTCTCCGAGACCCACACGTTTCTTTTCCCTTCCCTCCTAGTGCCCACTAGGTACGGTGTAGTGCTGGGAGCTGTGATCGGGGGTATCCTCGGGGTGGTGCTGCTGCTGGTGCTGCTTTTCTACCTGGTTCGGTACTGCTGGCTACGCAGGCAAGCGACCCTGCAGAGGAGGCTCAGGTAAGGGGACACCCTCAGTCCAGGATGCCCAATCCGGGCAGAGACTACTTCAGTAGTGGGAGGGTCCAATGAAAGTGGAAGCTGCATCTGCTGGGAATGGGTTCCAGTGAGGCCAATCCAGCCGCAACCGCTCTCCCCACAGTGCCATGGAGAAGGGGAAATTTCACAAGTCTTCCAAGGACTCGTCGAAGCGTGGGCGGCAGGTCAGCGGGACTTGGGGCCTGGATAGGCCGGGGAGGAGAACGCTGGGAGACCCGGGGCAGCAGTGGGGGCAGCGGTCAAGCTTCACCATATCCGAAGCTAATGTATGCACCTCTCCCGCAGACGCCAGTGCTGTATGCCATGCTGGACCACAGCAGAAGCACCAAAGCTGCCAGCGAGAAGAAGTCTAAGGGGCTGGGGGAGTCTCGCAAGGATAAGAAATAGCGGTTAGCGGGCCGGGCAGGGAGGCGGGGGTCAGGGGCGGAGTCCTCCAAAGGCGCTCAGGTGGTGGTCATTGAGATGGAGCTTCGGAAGGATGAGCAGAGCTCGGAGCTCCGGCCTGCTGTCAAGTCCCCCAGCAGAACCAGCCTCAAGAACGCCCTCAAGAACATGATGGGCCTGGACTCGGACAAGTGATCACCATCCTCCAGGCCCTGCCAGAGCAGGGGGACCTAGGCTCCTCTTAGCCCCTGTCTAGGTGCTTTCCTCTTGCTCCCCAGCCCTGCCCTGCCCTCACCTCCCATTGAGATGTAAGTTTTATTGCAAAATTCATTCCCAAGCACTTGTATTCCTTCCTCACTTTTACCCCCTTGGCTTTCTGGAAGCCTGGGAACTAATCCTACCCCTCACCTGCCCCAAAGGCTGTGTGTTTGGTGCCTGTCACTCAGGCACCGAGAAGAAAGGGACCTTGATAGCCTCTGTCCCAACTCCAGATGGTCTGGCCTTCCCATCCCCTGCGCCCCAGCTGACTCCCTGGCTCTTTCCTGTCCCTCCCTTCCTTCCCTTGGGTGCCCAGCTCCATTCTCTGCCACCAGCTAACACCCACAGCATCCAGATCAGACTCCTTCTTCAGGGTTTATTTAGGTTGTTTATTATTTTTTATTTTTAATCCATTCTTTTGTTTACCTGAGCCCATGCCCCCATGACTGAGGTCCAATGACGTCATGTGGCTTTTGCAGTTCCCCATACCCCACTATGTCTTTTTATGGAGATCCAACCAGTCCAAGCAGAGGAGCCCTGATCCTCAGACTTCAGCTACATGATTGCTGCCCTCTGACCACTCCTGAACACTGTGCTGGGACTCAAGATCTTGGGGAAGGAGAGTGAGGGAATGGATCCTCACAGATTAGGGGTAGAAAGAAGGGGAAAAATGAGCCTTAAGAAATGGTTTTAAAATAATCAAATAGAAAGCAGGAAAAACAAATGGGAAATGGGGGAGAAAGGAAGAGGCTGTACTCCCAGCCCCAGGGGATTCTTAGGATTTTTCTACATTCTGTATATTTCTTCTTCCACCTGTCCTTAAATGTTTAATAAACACTGACATTTCCAGAAGCTTCGGCCTCTATCTTGCATTTTCTAGTTCTCATAAGAATCCTCACCTCTTATGCCTGGTGTAGTGGTGCGCTCCTTTAATCCCAGAACTCAGGAGGCAGAGGCAGGTGGATCTCTGTGAGATCGAGACCAGCCTGGTCTACATAGTGAGTTCCAGGTCAGCTGGGTCTACAGGGAGACCTTGTCTCGAAAGAAAGAAAGAAAGAAAGAAAGAAAGAAAGAAAGAAAGAAAGAAAGAACGAAAGAAAGAAAGAAAGAAAGAAAAAGAAAGGAGG